GAGAGATAGAGGGAGGAAGAGAGAGAAGGGGGAAGGGGAGGAGATCAACTTAGATTTCTGATCAACTGGTCAGATTTCCCCTCCCCCTCCCTCTAGCTCTCTCTCTCTCTCCTCTCCTCTCTCTTCTCTCCTCTCCTCTCCTTTCTCTCCTCTCTCCACTCCCCTTTTATCTCTCCTTTCCCCCTCTCTCTACTCTTTATCTCCCTCTCCCTCTCCTTGTGTCTGATCGGATACAGGGAGAGGGAGAGGTGGGGGAGAGGAAACAAAGAGATAAGAGAGAAATGGGAGAGAGGAGAAAGAGAGGAGAAAGGAGGGAGGAGGGGATAAGTTCCCCCTCCCTCTAGCTCCCTCTCCTCTCCTCTCATCTCTCTCTCCTCTCTCCTCTCCTCTCTCTACTCTCTTTCTCCCTCTCCCTCTCCTTGTGTATGATTAGATATAGGGAGAGGGAGAGGTGAGGAGAGGAGAGAGAGATGAGAGATGAGAGATGAGAGATGAGAGAGAGATGGGTGAGAGGGAGGGAAGGAGAGAGGAGAGAGAGATAGAGGGAGGGGAGAGAAAGGGGAAGGGAGGGAGGGGAGGGGAGGGGATTAGTTCAGATTTCTGATCAACTTATCATTTTTCCCCTCCTCCCTCCCTCTAGCTCTCTGTCTCCTTTCCTCTCTCTCTCTCTCCTCTCTCCTCTCTCCTCTCCCCTCTCCCCTCTTCTTTCTCCTTTCCCCTCTCTCTACTCTCCCTCTCCCTCTCCCTATGTTTGATCATATACAAGGAGAGGAAGAGGTGAGGGAGAGAGAGAGAGAGAGAGAGAGGGGGAGGAGCTAGGAGAGAGAGAGGGAAAGGGAGGAAGGGGGAGGGGATCAGTTAAAATTTCTAATCAACTTCTTAGAATTAGTTGATCAGATTTCCCCTCCCCCCTCTCTCCCTCCCTCTAGCTCTCTCTCCTCTCTCCAGAAGGGTGAGGGAGTAGAAGGTTTGCTTGTATGAGTTTATTGAACTTAATGCTTATATGATTTTGTTGAAATGCATTTGCTTAAATAATGACTTGTTCTGTTAATGATACAGGAGACTACTAGAGGCTTCTAACCATAAAGCTACTATAGAATGGAAAATTGAACCCCATTTGCAATTGTTTTTTTTTATTTTTTGAAAAGGTAAGGTAATTTATTAAAATAAGAACCAGTACAAAGGAACCTAGGCCATTAGAGGCTGCCTAGAGCCACCACAAATTATAGATACAACCGGTTCTGAGATCTAAACAACAGACTCAAATTCTGATTTTTAAACAACTCCGATGCCAACACCCAGAACAGAAGTTTACCCACAGCTATCTACACCATTTCCTCTGAAGATTTAGCTTTGCCCTGAAAATTTTTGTTATTTCTTTCAATCCAGATAGTCCAAAGCACAGTAGCCAGGATAGTCTTCCAAACCAAGATACCTTTCTTGCTGAGACCCTCAATCTGCCAACACAATAGCAGATCCTTCACAGAAATTGGCATTACCCAACTGATTTCCAAAGCTTGGAGAAAATGCCTCCAAATATAATTCGAGATTGGGCAATGTAAGGCCAGATGTTCAGTAGTTTCTACTACCCCACCACATAAGCCACATGACATATTCAAAATCTGAATGCCACGTTTCACTAGATTAACTTTGGATAGGCATTTATTTAAAGCCATTGTCTAGAGCAAAAACTTCACTTTAGAAGGACTGAATGAGCTCCAAATCTACCTAGCCGGAAAGTTTCCCTGACCTGAACTTATCAACTTACTGAACATAGACTTAATAGAAAACATGCCATCAGCTTCCCATTTCCATCTCCAAGCATCCTCCATGTTTGGGTCAATCCTCTGGTTCTGGAGCAGGCCCAACAGAATTGCATACTCCTCAATTTCCCAGTCAAAGAGGCGCCTCCTACAAGTTAGGTTCCAACTGAAAGAGTTATCATAAACATTGAAATTCTCAGCCACCGAGGAGTCCTAATTTACAGAAATTTGATACAAGAGAGGAAAGGCATCTTTTAGACACACTTCAGAACACCAAGAGTCTTTCCAAAATTTGATTCTTTCCCCATTTCCCAAGTTGTAACTGATTCCTCCACTCCATATTTGTCCACAATCAGCTTTCTCCACTAAGCATTTCTTTCATTTGCAAATCTCGAAAGCCATTTACACGGGAGGGCAGAATTGAATTTCTTTAATTTTCTTATTCCCAACCCTCTAACTTCCTTAGGAAGACACACTTAATCCTAGTTTACAACATGAACCTTCTTCTCCTCCTCCCAACCTCTCCAGAGAAAGTTTTTCTGTAGTTGCTCCACTCTGTTAGCCACTTTGGAAGATGTAGGAAATAGGGAGAGGTAGTAAGTAGGTAAATTAGAAAGAGTACTCTTAATCAAAATCACTCTCCCCCCAAAAGAAAKGTATTTAGCTTTCCAGGAAGCCAATTTCTTCTCCATTCTTTCAACCACTGGATTCCAAATCTGAGAGAAAGTATATTTAGCTCCCGAAGGGAGCCCTAAGTACTTGACCGGAATATGGGCAGTCTAACAAGCTATAACTTCTACACAAACTTCTAGATTTGTAACAAGACCTACAGGGATAATCTATGATTTACTCAAATTAACCTTAAGGCCAGACACCACCTCAAACCAATTCAAAATTCCAAGCACCACCTCCAGTTGATTAGGAGAAGCATCAACAAAGCATAAGGTGTCATGAGCAAATTGAAGAATATTGACTTTTTCTTTCCCCGAAGCAATTGCTAAGCCCTCCCAAAGCACATTCTCAGCAGCCTTCTTGCTAAAGAGAGATAAAATTTTCATGACACAAATGAAGAGTAGAGGAGAGAGAGGGCCACCTTGCCTCAAACCTCTTGAACTTCCAAAAAACCCCGTCATTTGCCCGTTAATTAAGATGGAGAACTTAGGAGTCTTAACACAAACTCCGATCCCGTTAATTAAGATGGAGAACCCCATTTTCAATTGTAGTTTATGGTTTTTTTGTTCTTTTGTTTTTTGAATGGTGGATGTGGGAGTAATGTTTTATAGGTTTGTGTTAATATGATAACCATAGTGTTTAGGCGGATGGTGGAAGAAATGTTGTTTATTTTTTGCTTCCACTTTTTTGTAAATGGTGATGAAAGGGATTTACAAGGATGCTAATGTTGAATGGATGCAGTCCCCTTGTTTGTATTGGTGCGAGAATGCTAATGTTGATTACTTTACAGTCTTTTTTCATATTAATGAAGGGYTATTTGTATAAAGTAACTTGTTCCAGTGTACTTATTATTGATAGGCAATCCCTCATCACTTTAACCAACAATTGGATCTCATGCGCAAGGTTGGTCATCCCATTCTAATGGAGATCATGCAAAAAATTGGAATACAGTTATTGTTGGATACTAACCATTGGAACTTCACTACTAATTAGTTGATTAACTTGAATACAATGGCAAAAGGAACAACAATTATAATAGAACTACTACATTCTATTAACCCTTCCCATCCACAAAGGGATCAAGTTCTAGAATACAATTTCATCGGGATACAGTTCATTAACTACTTGTACATATAACTCTAATTCTTGTACATATACATGCCAAAAAATACAGCAATTAACACAATGAGTAAGACCCTCTTGGTCTTTAACCCTTCAGTAACTACTTCTTGGGAGGACTCCATATCATTAATACAACAATCAAAACTAGCTACCAGTTCATGAAGCTCTACAATGTGGCTTTCAGATTATAACTTATTTCCGAAACCCGAATAACAGCCCTCCTTCCACATTTACAATTCTTTGGCTTGTATTTAAGATACCTAACATGTTGACTATCATTTGTTGACTGAGAAGGTGACATCTCTGCAAATCAAAACATAAAAACCACCAAAATATTCTATGAAACATGCAAGTACAATCAAAAAATTTGTAATGATATGAACTAGACAAAATATTCTTTACTTTTTTCTTGAGAAAACAAGCTTTCACCAACTAATCTACCATATTAATTAGTTCTGGTATGATACATATTTTGGTATGCAAAATCAAACATTTTGATCAGTAGTTGCAAAACCAAACCAAAATCAAATATTTTCCCTAACTTTTTCCTTTCCCAAATCATAACATATGCTTCTGGGTTATTTTGCAACAAAGAAACATTGATTAGAACTGAAATGGTTCCAACGACAGCATTCCCTTGACAAGATGACTATTTTGCCCACATTTTTCGATGAAACATTTTGCACATAATTCTGATCTGAAAATTGTTCAAATCGGAACCACCTTTCAATTCAGATTCCGCCGAAACATTTTTAGATCAAAACTATATGCGATGCAATTCTAGAGTGGAGTTGGTATGAAAACTCCGTCAAATGTTAGGGGTGAAGCTTATCACATTTCTTCCCCATTCCTCTCCTTTATCATTTCTTCAATCGAGTTTGAAGAAAAAGGGATGGAATGGGCATGCTCAAAATGAAGAGGAATGTCGGAGTTGAGTGAAGCCTCATCTACTCTCTCGCTCATTCGACCCAATTGAATGGTTCTCTCTCCTCTCTCATTTGTTCAACACGGATTGAAGAGAAAAGGGTATTAGGGAAATAGGAAGAGAAAAGGGTAAAATGGTCCATATATTTTCATAAAGATTAGTTTTGGTATTTCAAAAATATTTAACCCACATGATATCACGTGATTCTTCTACGGTGAGTTACACCAGGTACTAAATCATCGCAAAATAAAATTTCGGATACTAGATTGTTGCATTTTTTAAAATTAAGGTACTAAATTAACACTTGGCCTACAGTACAGAGGGTATCAGGAATTTTCCCTTCATAAAATCAAAATCATCAAGATTACCGAATAAAATCAGTATCGGCTATCGCCCATAACATTTAAGAAACCAATAAAATGCCGTGATTAAAGAAAGCTGTGTTACAGTATTTGTATGCAAGCAAAATTCAGACAATTAACCAATAGGCATACCACCGATCAAAATGGAATCAAATCTTGGAGAGAGAAATCCACAAGATACGAGATCTTATTAAAAAGGAATACTTGAAAAGCAACAAAATGGAAGAGAAATACAAAGCCATTGGACCCAATGCAATCCGTTTACTGAGAAAGATACAGTATCCTCATAAATCATATCATGTCAATTTTTCAGCATTTAGTCCCCCTTAGAAGATGGGGGAAAGATCTAAAAAAGCAAAGAAACTAGCAACTAGGATACAGTCTTACTGCCCAGCTGTTTCACTCGATTAAATCCCTAAAGTAAAAAGGCTAACCTTAAACTAGGTTGTAATCTCCCACAGAAAGAATGTAAAAGCTGCAAAAAATCCCAAAAACAGAAAGAAAGCCTCAACTGGGGACTTAATGTGGCTAAAATAACTACACGAACACAATGGGTTACTAGTCATATACCTACTGCCGCTTCTGCCAAAATGGCAAAAAGATGAAATGAGGGGGAAAGAAACAAAAAATGAGGCTTACAGAAATCATACAGAACCTCTTCATAATTCCCAATGATGCAGCATTACCCAACCCAGGCACTTGCTATCAAACCACTTGAAGAATCACCATTAACAATGCTTCACTGCCCAACTTATACCTTCTTACTTCCAGTACTTCAAGCAGTAGCAGGCACCCTTGGTGCTACAGTCTTTTCTGTTTCATTAACAGCCAAACCAGCACGGTTCACACGGCCACCATATCCTCCATCACCACGGTTTGAAGATCCTCCCCTGCCACCACCATTACTCCTGTTAGCAAATTCATTCCTGTTGAAGTCATTCCGGCCATAACCTCTACCACCTCCATAGTTTCCACGGCCTCTTGCCCCATCATTCCTGAACCCAGTTCCCCGCCCAACTGGAAATCGACCTCTGTTATTCACTGCAAAAACAGCACCTTCTCATGATTAATTAGGCCTACATTTTTTATCAATAACAGCATAATTTTATTAATTAGGCCTACATCTGCAAAAGGAGATATTCTAAACATCACAATGGCAGATCCCCTACTACATGGTTCACACAGAACCTTTATGGGAGACAATTATGAGAGCAAATGGAACAGTCAATAGGTCAAGTCTAATCCAGATAGGTAAACCTAGTCTTAGACCAACCAATAAGACATCAAGACCAATTCATATAGAACCGAACCTATTTTCAATCAAGGCTTATAAGGTATAACCTATAAGACCTAATTATAAAAGACACGCTTTGGGCCTTCGGCTGTTAAATCTCTTGTTCTCGTTTCTCAAAATACTTTATACATCCCCTATAAAACAAAAGAATTTAGAAATTTTATGTGAAATTATCATTGAACTACTAGGAAAATATATAAAATGTTGGAAGTTATCTTTGTCATGTATATGTGTGGTTTTAATCACAACAAAACAGATAATAACGGTCAACAACCATATTATAATCAGGACTCAAAATGCAGACCCACACACTGCGCTAGGATCAGATTGATCTGGGTCAATTGGGTTTACTCATTACTGAGATCATTAAAGGCCTGGAAGTAGACAACCTGCAATGTCAATTTGGTAAATGTCCAGCAGTGAGAATAATTACTAAAACACTGCCATAGCAGTCTATTATCAAAACACCCTCCTAAATGGCTTGCTCCACAGTTCAATGTGGAGGATATATGCTGTAAATGAGAACCTCTTCTACTGACTAATAAAGCCCATCGTCATTTCTGGGTTACATCTCAGAGTCTCAAGCCCCCAATCCACTTGCAATTCAAAAATGGCAAATCTTTCCTTGAGGTCTAAAAAATGCCTAGGTTGTGTCAGAAACTTGGCAACAATAAAATTTAAGTTTATGCATATAGAGTATAGATATCATTTTATATAAAATGACAACAGGCTTATAGTAGCCTTTTACTGTAACTGAAACCTCAAAATATCCAGGAAATATTAAAGTAGGATTATCCCAACTTACCTCGAGAACTTGATGCCCGCTTTTCCTCAACAAAAGCTTGTCGACCTCCAATCATAATGGGTGATGCCTAAATTAAAAAATGTAAAATTTAGATAAATACCTCGAAAGTTTTAGTCAAAAACAGCTAAGTAATGAATTTCGGAAACAAGAAAAGAGTAACATCAAATTTAACAATTGGATGGGAGATTATATGTGCACGGTGCACTATGGCGCATGTCCACCTACCAGTATAGTTAATACTGCACTACACAATAATAAGTAATAATATTCAATCATGCACCAAGGTTAATTGATCCCATGTAATCCACAAGATGCAATTTAATGACAAGGAAAATTAACGGCCCCTGTTTACAACAATAATGATCAAAGTACATAGGCCAATCCACCTTACTTCAAAGGACAATGTTGTCAGAATTAGTCATCAGGACTAGTCAACACAGGAACCACCTCACCAACTCAATTGTTTTGCTATTGGTTGATCCATATGACTAAACACAACTTGTTCAACAAAATTCTTGAATGACAAAAATTAGGTATTTGGCCATGATAACACTAAGCAAAATAATATATTGTTATGATTATAGTCTTCTTTTTTTATCAATGCAAAGTGTTACTAGACCCATTAATTTGGAGATATCATGGTAACACTTTCTAGTTTTATCCTCAAATACTAATCACAGAACCAAGCTATTTGAACCAAGTTGCAGCCGCACCACCTTAAACACAAGATTTGCTTCATCTTGTATCCTAAATTGTGAAACAACCAAGCGAATTCAATTATTTAAACAAAAGAAGGATCCACATGCTGCCATTTCTAGGTCCATTAAGCCCATAGAGACTATTATGCCACTTAGTTCCCATCATCCCATGTAACCTCTTTCATCTATTCTTCGCACCTAGTGACTATTATCCATCAAATTTTGATATCAGAGTTGCTACCTTGCATACAGAACTCAAATAAAGAACAAATATCTCAAAACCGAATAGTTTCAATAACAAATTAACAATTCCAAGTATTGAATACAATAATTACAACTTCCAGAAGATAAACTAGAAGGGATAATGTAGAACAATTTCTTATCAATAGAATTTTTCATTAGAAATCAACACTGGAAGCAGGGGTTGATAAATATGGTAGAACTTAGAAGTCAGTTGTCCATTCATAATGTATTTAAAGATAATACCTTTTCTTCTTTTTTAAGGTTGACTTATTTCATTATTTGGGGGTCCCTAATGGTATACATGTACAGCATCTCATTGTATGTAGGACCTTTTGTTTTCATATTAATGAATACTTGCCTTTTTTCCAACCAAAAAGAAAAAAAAATAAAAAACAAAAAAAAACTAGAAGGGCTAATGTAGATGCATGAAATAGAAGTTGACAAAAGTAGAACCAGAACATAAACCATTTAGAAATTATAAGATGAGTGAGAAGAAAACAATAAAAAATGAAAAAAGACAACCTTCCAAAGGTGGAAAACATCTGGAAGGAAAAGCAAGCAATGCATCCAAATGTTATCTAACCCACACTAAGGATGAATAGACATCAAAATACTAAAAAGAAAGATTGGGAATATTCAACACAAGAAACAATCAAGTTTTATTCACTGATGAAAGAAAATATAATGATTCCTTTAATCAGGAATTGAGATGGAGAGAGAGAGATAAAGAGAAAGAAGGAAAGCCTGTAACTCAAAATAAAAAATGTAATAGAATGATCAGTTGACAATCTTTAGTGATCATTGGTCACATTAACAAGTGTATTAAAAAAGACACCAACAAAATAGCATTCAATTACAGCAATAGATGTAGTATACCTCTATTGCACTCTGCACAGCACTTGCCACCTCAAATTCAACAAAGCCAAAACAAAATGCTTGTTGCTGAAAAATAAGGATAATAAGTAATTGACAGATAAAACCAAAAAATGGAATCAACCACTTAGGTGACTGAAGTGGGATAAACCTTATTGCTCCTAACTTGAACACCATTAACCTTGATAGGTCCAAACCTCTTGAACTCTTCTTCAAGCTGTGCGGGAGTAGCATTCAGTGGCAGGTTCCTTATATAAATTGAGTGGCCATCACCTGCAACAACCATATGCATAATCTTCATTATTACAGGTACTACTCCTACATGAAATTACGGAACTAAAAAATGAACAAGGCCAGAATGACAAACCTTCTCCTTCTTGGTGACTACCATTTTCAGCAGCATTTGAGTTGGACACTGGTGTCTCATTTGCTGGAGATGGTGACTGAGTTGGGGCCATCTGTCGCTCTTGATTTGCTGGTCCTGGCCTCACAGGAGAAGGTGCTGGAGCCGACAGGGGTGCTGCATTCTCTTTCATAACCTTCACCTGTAATTATGATATCTACCTTAATAATCTGATATTCAAAGGATAAATAATCAAGAATATATGGAACCCATCAGCAAAGATATCAAAGGATAAATAGCCAAGAATATATGGACCTCATCAGCAAAGATCAGCTGCTTCTATACATCAAACCTTGCTACTAGAAACCCAGATTATTGCCTGTATGTAAATACTAATTAACAATGGAACATGCCCCATACTAATGCAATATCAAGTGATGTGCTTAAGCCTAGAAAGTATTATTATCACATGAGAAGCCATAAATAAGAAAGTAAGGAACCCGCAAATAAGTAAAAACTAAAAATGAATCCACACTTTCTGACATCTGAATGAATCAATGTGCACTTACAATTGAAGCATACGACTTCTTAGGCACTTCTTCTTGGACAGCAGAGCTAGACTCAGTAACCATCTGAGGTTCAATCTGAATTTCATCAACAACCTCAGACACAGGTGCTTCCTCTTCCACAACTGAATCACCCTCATTGTCAGAATGATTATAAACTTCCTCTACATTGACTTCTTCTTCTGGTACTGGTTGCTCCGTAGACTGATGTTCCTGTGCTGGAGCAAGATCTGCAGAAGCAAGGATTCTCAACATCAAATTGAGGTAAAAGAAAGTGGAACCTACTAAAACACATACAATTAAAGGTTTCACATACCCTGCTCTGGAGCAAGAGGTGCGACCTCGTCATTAGGCAACCCCTGGTTCCCATCATGAAGTTCCAACTCTTCCATGTACCTGAACATGTCATTCAAAACAAAGTAGCCTTTGTCCTGGGGAGCAAGGAAGAACGACTGAGTAAAATTACTCCTCACATTGTCCTTCCCAGTCAAATACCCAGTCACAAGGACAAGGACTCCACCATTGAACGAATCCTGCGCATCCACTGTCTTTATTTCTGCCCTATATTTGCTATAGTCGAGAGACAGTATCTTCTCATTGATAGTCTGACCAGAATCAAATGCCCAACAAAAATAAATCACAACCGGAAAACTATCTAAACCATGTCACTACATCTGGGTTGTCAAATAGCGGTGGGTCTACATCCTCGGTTTTGTTTTTCTAAGTTCTTACTCTACCAGATTGGATGAAAAAGTAACGGGTATAAAAGAAGAAAAAAATAAGCAGAACCCTTACTTGCATGGTTGTTACAGCACTCATGGAGCCATCGGTTTCGGGGCGGCCGAGCTTGCTAATATCCTGGTAGAACCGATACACAAGCTCTGGAGATTGATGCATGATATGGTAGTACTGGTGAACGAAAGCATTCCCGACCTGTAAAAAACCAAAAAATTATTTTAGAAAACAAATCAAACTGTAAGACAGATAAGTGCGGAGAGAGAAAACTAAAGACGATTTCCATCTCAATATATACCACTTGGGCAGTTGGGCAAGATCCGGCAGGTTGTTGCGACGCCATTAGTGATCGAGCTCCAAAAGCAATACTCTAATAGACGTAACAACCACTATCATCAGTGGAAGCAACAGAATAACGCTTTGAACCCTAAACATCAGGAAACTCTACCGGCAGTTGAAGGTATAGGAACATCTAAAGAACTAAACGCAGAGATCAATGGACATGGACTAAAAAACGGGGGTATCAAAACAAATAGGAAGATTAATCATACCTGGTTTTCTTCTCGTCTTTCTCCCGTTTCGCGCTTACTAGGGTTTTTCCTTTTGGATCTGAGAGAGGCGCGAGCAAGGGAGAGAGAGAGAGAGGAGCCGAGAGAGAAGAGGGGATTTTATTTTGTTGGTGTTTTGCTTTTGTTTGTTGCGACTTGGCGAGGAGTGTTTGGGTTTGGTTGTATTCTTTGGATTTATTTATTGGAAATAAAATTGTGTTATTCCTTTTTTTTCTTTGGATTTGGATTTGGACTTGAAGGCGGTGGTGGTGGGGCAAAGGCCCTGCTTGTATTTGCCGCAAGGAAAAGCTTTTTGTCTCTCCGGGACGGATGTGAATCGGGGTATAACTGAATCCGATGCGATGAACCAAATCTCATAAAGGTTAACTTACATTTGAATTTATTAAAGATAGTTGGATATTCGAATCTCATCCGGTTCAATTTAAGTTCGGTAAAATTTAACAAATTATCAAAAAAATCATAAGAAAAACAAAAATACAAGTATTTTTTTAATTATTTTATCATGTATATATGTATATATTTTTATAAAAAAAAATACAAAATACAATAGGGGTGATCTAAATTTGGTCCAATTTTTCTATTATTTGATTTAATCCAATTCAAAATTCTAATAGAAGGAGTATCCAAATCTAGTAAAATAGGATTGGATTCGAATCAGATCATGTTTGGGTTCATTTGCACTCCTAAATGGCATGACTTCCAAGTGAAAACTCCCAGCTTCCCTAATTGGGCCAATGTTTTCAAAGCATTTTGTATCTAGACGGTTGAACTATTCGACTCGCAAACAGGTCATCTTTCCAAGTAATCGTTGGACCATTGAACCCAAACAATGGTTCACAAACTGAGAATTGTTTTTATATTTTAAATATTTCATTATGTTTGTAATGGCATCATGAATTGACCGACCTGATCGAATTATTGATGCATAACTTAAAGGCAAAAATGATTTTATTTTTTAGTCGATTTTTAAAACATTGAATTGGGTATAGGCTGAAACTTGGGCCCTAATTAGGCAAGAACCAATGTTTTAAGACTCGGCCCGTATGATTGAAAATTGGGAATTGGTGGCCTTGCCCAATCAAATGACAGTTTTGGCGGGTTGGATGGATAAACCACCCAGTTAACCGGTAAAATGGGTGCCCAAAGAGCATTTGGATTTATACATTGGTCTAAGTCTTGAAACACTACTAAAACATTATCAACCGAAATCTTAGCTTGGCTTCGGTATGTTGGTTTGTGTTAGCCCAATCTTATAAAGTGTAATAGGGCTTATGACTAGGGATGTGAATGGGACAAGTTAAAGTGATGAATCGGTATTCATGTTAGGATCATGGTTTTCAAAATTGGATTGGATCGGACAGTCGGACCTGAAAAACCGAGAACCAATTAGGTGATCGGTTCCGTTTTCCTCAAACACCGAATTTTCTCCAAAACCATTGATTTTGGTCAATAAACCGTTGCACCGGACGATTAATTGTTTGAACGGTTTTGACCATTTTTAATTTTTTTATAATTTTTTTATGTTTTTGTTAGAATGGACTGAGCATTTGGTTCGAACGATCAAATCATTCAACCCGGTAACCGGACCCATAACCAATTCGATCACCAGATCGGTTTTAAAAACCATGGTTAGGATCACGTTCGGATGAGGTTGAGGCTGCCATGTGTGAATCTCAACCAATTGACAATGTAACATTGAAACGTCTATAAATATAGCCTTAGTTCTGAAATCTGAAGTTTGAAAAGCATAAAAAACTCCGAAAAAGCTTGAAAACCAATTCATAAAAAAAAATGCTTTTCTGCTATAATTTGACATCTAAAAAATGTATATTTTACAAATTTACCCCTCAATTTGTTACTTAAATAACAATAATGAAAATTGTTAAAATTTATAATGTTATACAAAATTATAAAATAATAAAAATATTAAATATCAAGAAATAATAAAATTAGAAAATTAAAAATAATAAATAAGATTAACAATATTAATAAAAAGATTAGCAATAATGAAAATTGTTGTGAGTTGCGCATATTAACTACTGAACATGTTTGATAGCCACCTTTTGTTAGTATTTGTGTTTTGTAAGTTGGAGATAGACTCCTACTTGGAGTGGTATTCTAAGTATGATAGGACTGGATTGAGATTAGTTTGATGGGGAATTAATCTCAATCAATGATAAAAATTGTTAAAGTCCTAATCACCTCTAGATGGGGGTTATAAAAACCACATAGTGGTGGACCCATCACTGTTAGCTTCAAAATCCAGAGAAACTAATAAACTCAAAAAAATGATAAAAAAAAAAGCACAACACAAGCATTCAACAACAATAGCTGAATCTCAGACTGGAATACAAATAAGTAAGTATGTCTGAATCTGATTTATTTCAAGTTCATCAATTGAATGAACTTAAAATCTTGCAGTTGGTATCAGAGTGAAGTTCATTAGTTGATGAACGGCTTGGTTGAATCTTAGTTATTAACAAAATTTCGATTTATCTCTAGTTGATATGTTTGAATCGTCTTTATTAGATTCGACTATTCGTTTCCGATTGATTCATCTTGGAAAAATTTTGTGTAATTGCTTGGACGTCTCCATTCGATTCGTCTCGGAAAGTCAAGTAATTGACGTCCTGGGTTGTTTGAACACCCGTCAGTTTTCTCTCTTTGGGATTTTAATTGGAAGAGCTATATTACAGCTAATTGGGTTTTTCAATCGGCTATTCTTCCTTAGCCCTTATAATAACTAATGAGTATTAATCAATGATTGCGGCTGCTAGTTTTCTTTAACTATTTATTTATTTTACTTGGTATAAAGGGGCTTTTCCCATCAAATAATTAATGATTGCCGGCTGTTATTTGTTTATTTTGACTTGGCACAAAGGGGGTTTTTTCCCATCAAAGAAAAGTGTTTAAAATAAAAAGGGAAAGGCGATATTTTAACTCATCGCCATCAATTGCCTCTTTTTACCCTTGAATTAGGTTTAAGTATTCAGAAGTTAAAACATAATTTCTCAAGGACCATTCTCAGTAACACCCTTGGATTTTGTCAGCTTGTTCAAATATTCTAAGAGAACTATATCGAATCAAAACTTGTTTTCCATCTATTTCCATCTTGTCAGCCCATTCAACGATTTAGACCCAACTAACTCTATTTCCATTCCTATTGCTTATTTGAAATATTATTTGTTCTATGTTTTATTTCATTTTGTTAGTCTTGAATTTTATTTCCTTATTAAGATGAACTTTGATGCATTCGTTGGCATTATAATTTTGTTTTATATGCTTAGATGCAAAGTATACATCCTTGATTGAAACTTGGGGACATTTAGTAAATGGATGGTGTCAAAATACTTTAAGTTTACGACATGATAATCAAGCGTTCCATCTTTATTTGTTATTTTAAGAACCTTAACGTAGGTTGTGATTACCATTCTTTCTTTATTCTTGTTATGGTTAGCTCAAAGGCAACACCTAATATTATGATAAAGATATAATGAGACAAGGAAGGAAAGTATATAGTGTGTAAGTGAACTTCTTAAGCCCAAAGGAGTAAGAGGAGATCATATACATTCATATATGGAACTTGCTTTGTTTGAGCAATGCTTATTCATTGAAAATGATGATGTGGTTATTTATCTCAGCCCAAAGGAGGGGGTAGATAAGCCATAAACATCTAGGGTGATATGTTGTCTCCATGTCAGTCATTAGACGTTCCCTGTTGTATGTGATTAGATGAGATGCATGATGTATGGACTTTAGATATAAATATACTCCCTTGACATCATGATTGCTTAGTTATTTTTGAAATAATGATTAGTTTGATGGTTTAAAGTTGCAGTTGATGTGAACACCTTTGTTGGACCTAATCAGCCTTATCGTATTGAGCTTATCACCAATAATAACTATAAGAGATGGAGAGGCCAATTGGAATCCTACTTAGGAATCCAAAAAATAGACTTTTGTCTCACCCAACTTGAGCCATCTAAACCTGCTTCCAATGCTTCTGAGCCACTTAGAACCAGATACACCACTTGGCACAAAGCAAATAAGCTAGTACTCTTGATAGTTTAGAACACTATCTCTGAACCTCTTAAACCCGAGATTCTCATTTTAAACACTACCAAAGAAACACTTGACAATATAGAGGCACAGTTTGTTGGATCAACCAAAGCCCTTACAATGAGCTTGTTCACACAATTCTTCACTATTAGTTTTGAGCCTGGAATGAATGTTAGAGAGTTCATTTCTAAGATGTCAAGAATTGTTTACCAACTTAGAGATTTGAAGATGAAATTAAGTGACGATTTTTTGGTGTATGTTGTTATGTCAAAGTTGCCAAAATCCTTTTGAGACCTTTGTGGTGAACTTTAATACAAGTGTAGCAAAATGGACTGTCAATGAGATGATAAATCAATGTGTTCTAGAAGAAGAAAGGCAGAAAAGACAGAAAATAGAATCTGCTCATTTCACTTCCTTGGGTCCTAAAATGAAACCCTTCAAGAAAGGTCCAAAGAAGGACAATGAGGGAAAGAATAAATATAAGAAGGGTAAAAAGGTGTCACCCACCAAACAACCTGAATCGAATCCAACTGCCATTGAGCCAGCCACTAGTGTGGATAAGGTGATATGTTACTATTACAAAATGCCTGGACATTTCATAAGCGACTGTCAGAAGTTGAAATAGAAGAAAAAAAAACAAAGGGTTCTAGAATCTAAGAATAATTGATGATGGAGAGGAGATACTAATATATACAGGAGATACACATAAAATGAAGGCAATAAGAACATTTAGATTAGTCTTAGATATGATATTGGATATGTTTTAGATTTATTGGATACTTTATTTGTACCCACTATGAAGCGCAATTTTCTTTCTATTTCTAGATTGGATACAGTTAGATATTCCTTTCATTTTGCTTCTGGTACTTTGTCAATCTTACATGATGCAAACATTATTGGTTCAGGTGTTCTTCATAATGGATTATATTTGTTAAATTTGAATAGGTCCAATGCATGTTTCCTTGCTAGAAATGATGTTATATTCATAAATGAAAATGGTAAAAGAAAAATACAATGTGATAATACTTCCCTATTATGGCATAGAAGGTTATGGCACATTTCTAAGGAGAGATTGGAACG